CATTCCAAAATCTGTTTTCTTTTTTTAAATGACATCATATTGCTATCAGTGGATACTTAAATCGGTGCGCAGATTTCCACTATCAGCAATGATTGGTATGAATGCATGTGACGGGACTGTGAGGGACTGATGATGTGGACTAAGTGTGACTGACTTGAAATTGAGACTAAGGACTGTAACTATTTCAGGATCAGTCACTTCTAATGTCTAATCCACTCCAAACAGTGAAAAAAGGGTGGATGCATGTGGGGGTTTTTTGTTTGCTTGTTTTTGCAGGAGCAGGAAGATGACAGAGACCAGCGAAGGGGGAGACTGTAGGTTCACATGAGTGTGTGTGGGCCCTGCAGACTTAACCCTTTAGCTGCCACTTTTCTGTGTTACTGATTTTTGTGTGAAGGAAACTGTGGTTTTACTGGCTGCTTGTTGGTTATGGTATCACACTGTATTGTTGGGGAAATGTTAAATGTTACAGTGGGGAAAATGTGCATGCAATGTGGAAAATATACTGTGTTGAAATCAGTGTTCACGGCAGCAGATTGTTGACTACAAGATTATAGCAGCACCTCTGGAATCTGTTTATCCAGGCCTTACCCACGAGGATACACCACTGGCTAATGGTTTTGTTTTTTTTCCCTCTAAGGGTTTTGGCATCACACAAGCAGACATAAATGAAATAAAGCAGGATGTGCAGTGATTACCGGACATTTTAGTGTTGGGCTTATTATCATATCCTTATTTATGTTAAGTTGTTGAGCTTATAGTGTTATAACAAGTGAGTGACATTACTTAAGAGTGGTTAGGGTTACACACTGGTTACAGTAGTTTTGAATAAACACATGGGATGATCAATGAAATTATGGTAACGGTAGTGTTGTAATGATCTGGGGGGAAAAAAATTGCACAAAACTTGTGTCTGTAGTGCTGAATGCCTTATTACTCTTATGACTTACAGTTGCTTGCAAATGTAAAGTTTATATTAACTCACAGATTTGTTTTCCAGGCAATAATAGTGTGGATGCAGGCTCCAGGTGGAGCTAGGAGTTAAACAGACTTAACATGAAAACTACGCTGATTTCATTTTCTAACACAGGTTTACAGGTCTGGAGTGACGCTACAAAAAAACCGATCAGCTGATCATTGATCAGTTTCATGATAGTAGCAACAGGAGAGGGAGGGGAGAGAATGAGAGAAGAAGAGGCAGCTGTGCAGCAAAGACAAAGAATAAAACTCCACCTTTGTGTCTTTTTTCATTCTAGCTGAAGTCCGGGACAAACTGTGCTCCTTTTCAGCTCAACACGAAACGCATAATAATTTCTCTGAATGCGGGAGGATTTCGTCTTTTTATGGGACGGTTGGCAACTCTACTAACTAACCTTATGAATTAAATAAAGTTCACTATCAGTAATATCATAGCACCCACCCAACTGTATAGAAACTCCGTCATGCTAGCTAGTACGCAGTACGAGTTATTGTAACTGACTATAAAAAGTCAGCACAACGAAAATAAACTCCACCTAAACTTGGTTTATATCTGACCCAGATAGACTGCAGGTCATAACTTCTTACCTGAAGTTCAGTTCACCTGACGCTCAGACTGGCAGCTGCCTTGGGTCTCTCCTCCTCCTGCCTCCGATCTCCCTCATCCACCTGCTATCCTCCACCACTTGTTAATTTTACTGAATCTGTGGACGCTCTGCGATGCCACCACTAAACAACTGAGTTATTTTTACACACCGGCCAGCATCTGGCCAATCCACCATCTTTCATTGTTTATACCGTTACAAAAAAAAAAAAAAAAAATCATTGGGCCACCGAGGCCTGGTATGCCCGATGGCCAGTCCAGCTATGGCTGTGTCATCAGTTAACCCTTCGCGTACCAACTGTGGCACGCGTGCCTAGGGTTGCCAACCCCTGCAGTAGAATAAATAGAATAAAATATACAATAGGATAAAAATAGAATACAAATGCTGTATACAACTGAGTAAAAATACAACTTTGTCAGAAAAAGAGTATCACATTTCAGAGAAGCTGGTTGTAAATTCCACTTTAAACGTTTTTAATTTCATTTATTTTTTAAAGCGCCTTGAGGCAACTGTTGTTGTGATTTGGCGCTATATAAATAAAACTGAACTGAACTGAATTAAAGCTAAACTCTGAGTTCAGAGGATGCCAGTGGACTGAAGATTGTCACTATCTGACGTGAAAACTCTGCCCCGCTGGTTTTTAAGGGATCGAGGGTGTTTTTTCTATGAACACAAATATGCAATAACAATAACAGCGAGTTCATTGAAATCACATTACCTTCTGGCACAGGGGCGGTCCTGGCCTGTTTGGTGCCCTGGGTGAACACTCCCTCTACCGCCCTGTGCCCAGTAATTGTGATGACGGTGTTAATGCTGACAGCCCGTTTGTTTGTTTTTATTTTGGGAGCTGGTTATTTAAATGCCGCTCCAGCCAGCCAGAGAATCCCCCACTATCCCCGCTGACTAGCGCAATCTCCAAAATGCGCTGGCATGATGTCGGGGCAGCATGGGTGCCAGCAACTTTTTTTTGCCAAAGCCATGATGTCGCCCTGGACAACCACCCATGTCACCCATATCAAAAACTGCTACTATTCTGGCACATGTTAAAGGGTGAAGAGAGGAAAGATGTCTGCACTGGCTGCCCGGGTAGCAGACATCTCAGAGGCAGATCCACCCTCAGATCAGCCAATCATCATCATCCCCCTCTCTTTCCCTTTCAGATTTTAAAACTTTAAAACACTGGACTGAACAGTAGCACTTTTCTAAAACGCTAAATACTATAAACTATGTAAACATGCTTCATTCATGGAGTTACCATTTCAGTGAAATTATACTGGTATGAGATTGTGAAGGTAACTGCTTTGAGAGGTTGTATCTAGCTTACATCACATTAGCTACTTGTATATCTGTCCCAGTAGTTCCTTCATGAGGGATTCCCCCCGCCACATCCATTCGAGTACTAACTGCTGCCAAGTTATAAACACAGCCCGTTTTGGTCGTTAAAAAATGAGCAAAATGATCTTGATTGAGCTGTTAATAGTTTCTTTTGAAACGTAGCCGTTCATTTACAGAATAGATCCCAGTGTGCCACAGGGATCTATTCTTGGGCCGTTATTGTTTTCATTGTACCTTTTGCCTCTTGGCGCGATTTTCCGGAAACATAAAGTGCCATTCCATCTATACGCAGATGACTGCCAGCTCATTTTAAAGTCCTTTTATTGGTTTTTAAATCTCTAAACGGTCTGGCACCTGATTATTTGTCTGACTTGTTGAAGCCCCACGTCAACACTCGTTCCCTTCAGTCAGCTGAGCAGTTGCTGCTTTCGGTCCCAAAGTCACAGCTGAAACTTAGAGGAGACCGAGCGTTCTCTGTTGCTGCGCCGATGCTTTGGAATAACCTTCCCCTCCATATTAGACAGGTTACATCAGTGCCAGTTTGTAAGTCTTTATTAAAAACCTATTATTATTCCCTGGCTTTTAACTCTGTGGGTAACTGATATTTTTATTTATTTATTTATTTATTTTAATTTTATTGCTATGTCTGGTTTTATTACTATGTGCATATTAGTATTGTACAGCACTTTGGTCAACCAGGTGTGTTTTTAAAGTGCTATATAAATAAATAAATGATGATGATGATGATTTACAGACAGATAAAAAGTAAACATCTGATGATTCTTTAGGTTTTCATCGCTCTGATTTCTCAGCATATTAAATGAGAAATTACAAATTTGTATCCACATTCTCATGCTCCAAGTGCTTTATCAAAGTGTGAGACACCCCCCACCCTGTAATTAATGACTCAGCCCCCTGAGTCAATACTTTGTAGAACCACCTTTTGCTGCAATTACAGATACGTTGTCCTGCTGGAAGGTGAACCTCCGCCCCAGTCTCAAGTCTTTTGCAGACTCCAAGAGGTTTTCTTCCAAGATTGCCCTGTATTTGGCTCCATCCATCTTCCCATCAACTCTGACCAGCTTCCCTGTCCCTGCTGAAGGGAAGCACCCCCAGAGCATGATGCTGCCACCACCATATTTGACAGTGGGGATGGTGTGTTCAGAGTGATGTGCAGTGTTAGTTTTCTGCCACACATAGCGTTTTGCATTTTGGCCAAAAAGTTTAATTTTGGTCTCATCTGACCAGAGCACCTTCGTCCACATGTTTGCTGTGTCCCCCACATGGCTTGTGGCAAACTGCATATGGGACGTCTCATGGCTTTCTGTTAACAATGGCTTTCTTCTTGCCACTCTTCCATAAAGGCCAACTTTGTGCAGTGCACGACTAATAATTGTCCTATGGACAGATTCCCCCACCTGAGCTGTAGATCTCTGCAGCTCGTCCAGAGTCACCGTGGGCCTCTTGGCTGCATTTCTGATCAGCGCTCTCCTTGTTCGGCCTGTGAGTTTAGGTGGACGGCCTTGTCTTGGTAGGTTTACAGTTGTGCCATACTCCTTGCATTTCTGAATGATCGCTTGAACAGTGCTCCGTGGGATGTTTAAGGCTTGGGAAATCTTTTTGTTGCCTAAGCCTGCTTTAAATTTCTCAATAACTTTATCCCTGACCTGTCTGGTGTGTTCTTTGGACTTCATGGTGTTGTTGCTCCCAATATTCTCTTAGACAACCTCTGAGGCTGTCACAGAGCAGCTGTATTTGTACTGACATTAGATTACACACAGGTGCACTCTATTTAGTCATTAGCACTCATCAGGCAATGTCTATGGGCAACTGACTGCTCAGACCAGAGGGGGCTGAATAATTACGCACACCCCACTTTTCAGTTATTTATTTGTAAAAAACGTTTGTAATCATGTATGATTTTCGTTCCACTTCTCACGTGTACACCACTTTGTATTGGTCTTTCACGTGGAATTCCAATAAAATCGATTCATGTTTGTGGCTGTAATGTGACAAAATGTGGGAAAGTTTAAGGGGGCCGAATACTTTTGCAAGCCACTGTAAGGGTAGAGCTAATCGCAGACCTAAGGGCAACACAGGAGGCAGAGCTAAGGGCAACTGACCTGGGTACTGAACAAGAAATGACTGGGCTGATGACCGGGCTGAAGTCTGGGCGGCTGACCAGGCTACGGGCTGAAGTGGTGGTTGTGGTGGAAGCAGAGCAGGTGGTTGAGTGGCTGACTGAGCTCCCGGCCGGGTAGCTGACTGCATGGGGCCTGAAGTAGTGACTGCACAGACCAAGCAGTGAGTGTTTGTAGAAGTGTGGCTGAGTCCTACTTGCCTGGACTGCCCATGCAAAACAGAGCCTCGCTCTCAGAGACGTTATTATTAGTTTTAATTCTTTACTGTCCAAAAAACTGATGGTACAGGTAGTGGATGAGAGGAAGTGATCGGAAAAACACTACCTGTTGAAGTCTCTTACAACTTTCCATCGCATTGATTACGCTCCTGCAGTAATCCCGCAGCTGCTCGAGCATGTCCATCTCCATTGCAAAACCTTGGCCCGCTAGGTCCATTTTATGGTGGAGTTGTTCTGTCATGGTGTGTGCTGTGCAGACAGGAGAAAAGGACCCAAACACTGGACTCATTGAGGCAAAGCGTGAACTTGAAAGCAGCTTTATTGCTGACCAAGGAAAACCAAACAGAAAACAAACTGGAAAGCTAGAACCAAAATACACAAGAAAACATCAGGAGAGACCGCACAAGGGAGAACTGATGTTCACAACGCAACAACAACAACAACTACCTGACAGGGACTAAAATACACTGGCAGGCACATGAGGAAACAAGGAATAGGTGGGCACATGGCTGGAACTCATTAGGCTAGACAAGACAAGGAAGTTTTTCAGAATACACTAACATGAGACAAGACCTTCAAAAGTAAAACAGGAAATCCACATACTCAACTCAGACACACAACACCAGAGGGAACACAGAGTACAGAGACAAGCGTGACATGAGACATGACTGACTGGGGGATGAAGATTTAAACACGAGGGCAGAGCTAAACCTAAGAGCTAGAAATCACAATCCCGGAAGAACTAGCTATATTACTCATAATTAAATCTCACTACTTAAGGGTGTTTTTTCCTTTGTCTTGTTTTATTTCCTTTTTTCCCCCATTTTTTTGTCTTTTGTGTGGATGTTTTTGTTGTTTAAAAAGACATACATGGATATCTGTAACAAATTATTGAAGCTGATGAACATGATACTGTACAGTGATTGCTAAATGAAAAAATTACATTTTTAAAGCAAGAAAAAAAAAAAAGAAGAATGCACGAGCAGCAACTGTGGTCCAATCACGAGTAAGAACTGATGATGCATGGAGCAGAGAAGCAGGTGTGGAGAAGTAGCACCGCCCCCCAAAAAGGCCTGGAGATTTAAAAACCTGAGTGGGCTAGGCTCAAAAATATTGTTGCAGATATTTAGTATAGTTCATATTAAAAGTTGATGTTATGTTACTGATATATTCAACAGGAACAAAATGTATCCATTTCAATCAGAAAAAAACAGTCCTTTTTTTTTT